GGTGATAGACTGGACAGATGCTGCCACCTGGACCCTTAAACTCCTGGCCCTTATGAGGGGCCTGTGACGTGGGCTTAACAGCAGGACAAGTTTGTGTCAGATTTGGAACATCTACAGAAAAGCAACAAAATGACTCATTCTTATAAAATACCTTATACTCTGCACAGAAAACACCACCTTCAATTACTGCTGTAGGTTTTATTTTCTCTGTGGAATCCCTGGTTCCTTTTGAGGCTCCTGGGACAGGCAGATCTGGAGAGCTTTGCTGTGGCCACAAGTGAGGCCCTGGAGCTCTGGGTCGATGGCTCAGCAGGCTTCAGACTCTGCCATTCATCTCCTGAAAAGGTGGGATGTAAGCCAATGGACTCTGGGCCATGGAGGGAATTGAAGGAAACTGGTGCAGTCAGGGTGCAGGAAACCCTAAGCAGCACTCTCCGATTGGGGTTGATGAGTTAAGGCCTTCAGGGATGGAGTAAAACAGTTCTGAACTCAGCAAACTGCTGATGGAAGCCTGGTGACTGGGAAGAAATGACAATAAACAGATTCCTTGTCATGTTGTTGGCTTTGTAGCAAATATCTGTTTTCTCCTTGGGATTACGTGAACATTGGCTTTTCTTTGATTTCTGGTGGTTGTTCTCAGTATTTCTTTTGTTAGAGGAGATGCTTCAAACTGCTCTGTAGAAGCCCCCAACTCTCTGCTTTGCAAGGCTTGTGTTTAGAGTTTGGCGCAGCCTCCACACATCACCTGTTAGCTGTTAGGAGTCTAATTCTGCAAACCATGACTTCATCTCCCTAAAGAAAGATAGACAGAATGCTTCAATCCAGCAGATATGGTTCAGTTCAAGATGTTTGGAGGGGGGAAAAAAAAAAGACTCTAAGCCTTTGGTCTCTGGGTGAACTTGGAAAGTAGACCTGTCAAAGGTATTCATGTTCAGACAGCTGGTCTGTAGCTGAAAAGGCTGCCAGATAATGCTGTTATTCAAGGCTGTGAGAATTTTGTCAAGTGGCCTTAAAATGATCTTGCTCAGTGAGGCTGGGGAAAGTTGGGCCCAAAGGTGCCTCTGCATTGCTTGCTGCTCTGAGGAGAGAATAAGGTCCAGGCCAGCACAAAGGCTGTAGAGTGGGAGCCAAGCTGCTTGGGTGTCTCGAAAATTAGATCTTCAAACAAATAAACAAACAAAAGATCTTTAAAAAATAGCACATGAGCTGGCTGGTGGTGTTCATTCAGTATGTCCCCTTTGTAGTGTTTATAATTAGGGAGCCTTACCACACTTAGGGTTATCTCCAGAGTTGACCCCAAGTGCTTTAGGTCCCAAACTAGAGTTGGTCAGTGGTAACAAAATGAAACTGTCACTGGCTAGGAAGACTTGGCTTGAGGGGTGGAGAACCTGGTAAGGGGACTGTTTCTTCTAACTGCTCTTTCCAGTTTCCTCCTGTGGTTTCTTATGGATTCCATTTGTTGTGGTTACAGCCCCCAGGGCTGTGGCTACTGAAAACTCCCTCCAAGAGAGGATGCAAGCTTTGAGCTCTGGAAACTGGAGAAAAGGATTTGCATCTGTAGATCTGGTGTTTTCCTGGTTCTCTTTCTCAGAATTCCTTTTCTTTTGAACCAGCAGAGGTTACAAATTTTTTTAGAATTGCCCAGAACCTTCCAAACCAGGAGCTGCATCAAGGGCAGGACACCTTCCCCTGAGGTGAGGTGTGGGGTCCATTCAGGTGATGCTGACTCTGCAACCAGCAGAGGTTACAAATTTTTTTAGAATTGCCCAGGAGCTGCAAAGGGCAGGACACCTTCCCCTGAGGTGAAGTGTGGGGTCCATTCAGGTGATGCTGACTCTGTCCTAGCCCAGGAGGCAGCCAGTGTATGTGTGTGGGGGGGCATCCCGGTGGGCTTGGGGTGCAGTGGCAGGAATCCATGTCTACCTGAGCTGGGCTTTCATGATTTAGCCCAGGGGTCCTCAAACTTTTTAAACAGGGGGCCAGTTCACTGTCCCTCAGACCGTTGGAGGGCCCGACTATAGTTTAAAAAAAAACTATGAACAAATTCCTATGCACACTGCACATATCTTATTTTGAAGTAAAAAAACAAAACGGGAACAAATACAATATTTGTATTTGCATGTGGCCCGCAGGCCATAGTTTGAGGACCCCTGATTTAGCCTTTCTATCACTTGCAAAGCCCAGATCATTTACTAGGAAGGAAACCTAATCAGGAAATCTCCTGGTGGTTCACACCCTGCCCCAATTCCTCAGCAGTGGGCACCCTCTCCTTCCCGAACATGCCCTGGAGGGCAGATGGGACCTGTTCCATCTTGTCCAGTTGCTGTCGTTTTGCACCTCCCCTCCCCTGCAGCAGGCAGCCCTCTCTTAGCCAGGAAAGCCTTTTGTGACGGGGCTTTTACAGTCAGACTGAGGACAAAGGGTGGGTTTTAATGAATACTTGGCCAGGGGAGTTTGTGCCCTGGATTCCTGCTTTTGTTATCAGTCAGATTTCTCCCCTATCTTCCTTGGCTGTTGTAAAATGCCCAGCCCTCTGCGTGCTGCAGTGTAGGGTGGGGCAGGGCACCCACTTCTCATAAAAAGGTGTGTCTCCCAGGTGCTCTGTCTTTTGTGTCCCTTGATGAAGGGGTTACTATGGTAACTGTTCCTCTGGCAAACAGGCAGGAATAAATGGAAGACAAGGCTTTTGCTCAATTCTAGCTGGAGTATGGATCTCTGCACCTCTTTTTTGTCCCCACTTGATACAGCTTCCCTCCCACTCCACAGGGCTGAATTCAAAGGTGAGCTAGAGTTTTGCAAAAAAGGATAGAGTCTTGGATTTTCTGGTTCTTTGGAGAAGAAGGCAACAGAATGACACTCCTGCCCAGCTCTTTCCAAGGAGCCAAATCATACTTCATTCCACTGCACACATCTCCCCCAGGCCCTCCACGCCACCTCATTGTCACTCTCAGGTGGATCTAGTCTGGCATCACAGAATCCACCGCTTAATTAGCAGTAAGTGAGCCCAGTCCTTGCAATTTCCCAAGTATAGAAGCTCAGGCCATTGGAAGTTTCATCCACAGTGTGAGGGTTCATGGGGGAAAAAAGCTCATGAAAGTCAAAGGGAATTCCGGAGAATTGATCTTCAGATTTCTCAGCCATGGGTGCTACTTATAAGTCACTCCATTGCTTTATTTCTCTGTGTTATATACTGCCTGTCCCCTACCCAAATCAGGCCCTTCCCCACCCTCAGGGCTTTGCATTCATCACCTCCATCTTCCCTGCACCAATAGAGCAGCACTGCTAAAAATAAAAAGCCCCCCCCCCCCGCCCCCAACGGCCTCTGTGCCTTCTCTTGGGGAGAGCCTTCCACTAACACTCCAGGCAGGAAGAGGAACCAGGCCCCCTCCACTTTTTCTGAGAAACCGCAATTTCAAACGATCTTCTTGCCAAAGGGATGGGCTTAGGGCACCACTGTGAGTGCTTCTTTCTCTCTCTGAGGCCAGGTGAAGACTTCTTAGCACATTATGGGGAAAAGGTTGTAATCCACCTGCCTCCTGTATATTCTGGCTCTGCAGACACTGATGGCCTTCCCTGTGGCCTCAGAAAGTGGGGGCAGGCTGGGGAGGGGAAGGAATGGTGGAGGCCAGGAAGCCAGCCAAGTGGGCTACAGCTCCATGCTGCAGCCGCCCCTCTCCAGCCCTCCTGCTGCACGGGCTCCAGCCCAGCAACAGCTGTGACCGGCTCTCCTTCCCGTGCCCTTACGCTCAGGGTCTGTGCTCAGGTCAGACTCCTGCTTTGGCTCCCTCCCAGGCAGTAGTCAGGACAATAGCACTACAGACGTGCCACTTGCTCCATGAACACGGGAGAAGGGCAAGCTGGGCTGGCCAGGCACCTGAGAGGCCGAAGGTCATTTAGGCTTCCCAAGCACCTTTCTCCACTTGCAAGAGATAGGTCCATCTGCGCTGGGCATCAGCACTCTTTTTTTTAAAAATATATTTTTATTGATTTCAGAGAGGAAAGGAGAGGGAGAGAGAGATAGAAACATTAATGATGAGAGAAAATTATTGACTGGTTGCCTCCTGCACGCCCCTTACTGGGAATCGAGCCCACAACCCAGGCATGTGCCCTTGACCAGAATCAAACCCGGGACCCTTCAGTCCGCAGGCCGATGCTCTATACACTGAGCCAAACCAGCTAGGGCTGGGCGTTAGCACTCTTGATGGCCTCTTTCTGTTTTAAAGTTGTGCTAATCATTGATTTCACCAGCAATAAAAACATTCTCTCCTTTGTTGCCTGAGAAACACTTTTTGTCATGCTGAGGTATCAGCATGAAAGGGTGATCAGGTAGAAAACTGAAGTTTGTTTTGACAACAGAGACTTTTTTTCTGTGAACAACTTGGTCAAGAACTGAATCATTCAAGATGGGAGACATTTGAGAACCGAGGTTTGACAGTATTTTTATGACATTGACTTTGTAAAGAGTCTAGTCATCTCCTTCCAGTTTTGAATCTGAGTGTGCAGGCGGTCAACATCAACTTCATTGACAGAGACTTACTAAGCACCTGTAAAATGCCACTGCCCCCTGAGGCCCCGAAACCCATGCATGACCCATTGCTCAGTTCCATGCAGGCAGGGTTCACTCTTAGGGACCACACCATTGGCTTATCAGGGTTGGTCTTGGTGACATCTGAATGCCGACTACAGGCAGCCCTGTCTGGCAAGTAAGTTCAGATCTCAGTTCTACCACTTCTTACTGAGGGACCTTTGACCAGTAACTTCTCCTCTGTAAGCCTCTGTCTTCACCTCCAAAACAGGGTTGGACCAGGGGTTGATTCAGCACTTCTGTGACTTAGCTCAAAGTGTGCCAGGCAGACTGCCTGCATCTTCCCACCTCAGGAAGCTGCTTTGTGAACTGATACCTGTGTCCATTCCCAGCTCCATGAGTGGGGTCAGGAGGATGCATGTGAGCCTCCGATGCTCTAATGCAATCATGTGCTCTTCCCCTCTGTTCCCTACAGCGGAGATTTTGGAGCTGGCTGGCAACGCGGCCAGGGACAACAAGAAGGGACGGGTCACACCTCGGCACATCCTGCTGGCCGTGGCCAATGATGAGGAGCTAAATCAGGTACGGGGCTCTCCTAGCCAACCTACCCCAGACAACCTGAGAGACAGAGCTGTCTGTGCAGAGGGAGGTTGGCAAGTTGCTGGCTTTTAAAGGTGTGGACTGCATTTTGGACTGTTAGCAGCTTCCCTGCCCCCCTTGGAAGTTTTTCCTGAAGGCCTTATTGGGGGTGGAGGGCAGGGATGAAACAAGGTATTTGACTCTCAAATGAACCACCCCTCGCCCCTAGTGAGGAACTCTGAAGACTTGTTCCCTGTGTAGTGAGCTGAGTCCCGTCAGCATCCTTGTAGATGCCATGGAGGGAGGAACTCTACCAACCAAAATCGAAAGCATGGATGGGCAGGGCTGACTTCTTGAAGGTCAAGGGCAGGCTGGGCTAGCTCACCATCTGCTACTTTGGTTTTCCTGCAAGCTACTAAAAGGAGTCACCATAGCCAGTGGTGGGGTGTTACCAAACATCCACCCAGAGTTGCTAGCAAAGAAACGAGGATCCAAAGGGAAGTTGGAAGCCATCATCACGCCACCCCCAGCCAAAAAGGCCAAGTCTCCATCCCAGAAGAAGCCAGTGTCAAAGAAAGCTGGAGGCAAGAAAGGGGCCCGGAAATCCAAGGTATGTGATTTGGCAGGGGCGTGTGGGGTAGGGCAGGGCAGTGCAGATAGGTGGTTGTTAGGAGAGCCCCCTTCCTGCTGAGCGCTCATCCCACCGATGGGGTGCAGCACTACAGAGGAACATGTGGGATCTGGTTACAGAGGGGCTAGTCCTACTCAAGTGGCCAGAGTCTGGACACAGTTGGGGGACTGGATTCCTGCAGGCAAGGAGTATGTGAGGTGGGTGCCAGGAAGATCAGGATGGAAGGACCTCATGCCTGGCCTTTCAGGGAGATGCCCATGCCTGTGGGAAGTGACCTGTGTGTACAGAATCTTCCTGGTGCTTGGACAGCTACCATTGAGTCCTGCCCAGAGGTGCCAGCTGCTCACTTGCTCCTGATACTCTCAGAACTGATGTTGCATTGCCATGGCTGCTTGTCCTACTCTGAGCATGTTCCAGCAGGGACAGTCCAAACAGTTTGCTTTTTAGAATGATTGCCTTGTTAAGGAGTAAAACAGACACATTATTCAGGCCCTCCTGCTAGACCCAACTTGGGCTGAGACTAGGTCCTGGGTGCTGATCATTTTGTGGTGAACGAATTCCTCTCATTAGTGTGTTCCTTCGTCACTGGGCCCTGCCTCTCAGCAGTTGTCACAGTTGCTTTGAGGCCCAACAAACAGAGGTGCAGTGCAGTTAAAGCTCGGTCTTTATAGATGGAATTTTAAGGCTGTGCTACCCTGCGGCGCCCCCTCAGGAGTCATCCTTCTCCAGCCATACTGGAGGAAATTACTTCTGGCAGAAGGTGACCTACCTGTTTTGTAAGACCCTCAATAAGAACTCTTGGAAATAACTCTTGGGTTCTACTGATGCAGTGTAAGGACGTTTTTCCTACCAGAGCCCACGCCTCTCACCAGAGTGAGATGGTGAGGTCACCTCCCAGATGGGCTCCAGGGGCCCTGACCCAGAGTCACATCCTGCATATCCCCTCCTCTGACCTGTCCAAAGATCAGGTCCCTGGCCTGTCTGTGCCACAGACAGACTGGCTTTCACCACATGGAGGCACCTTTCTGACCTCTAACCTCCCATCCACACTCTTTATTTAGTTGAGGTGGAAGAGGCTATGTTTTTAGTACCTCCTTCTGGGTGTAAACAAATGCTTTCCTGAAGACATCAGAATCTAAATTCCTCTTTCCAACAGACCACCCACCCCATCCCCCCCATCTCACCCCACCTGGCTCTGAATTGCTCCCAGCTCTTTGAGAGAGAAATCCGGTATTGAAGAGCATCCTGTAAGTTTATTTCCAGACGCTTGCATTCCACCTAGCTCACAAGTCCTGGAGGAGGCTTGGAATCAGGGGAATTCACACAATGCTTCATTCTCATTCCTGCTAACTGTAAATTTAGCAGATTGAACAGTTTCTTTCCCCCCTTTCACATTTGCAGCTGGACAGGGGCATGGGGGGCGGCATGTAGAGCAAGATGGGGAAAGAGAGGAGAAAAGCACCTGTGCAACCCTTTTTAATTAATTATTAACTAACTAATTAATTATTTTTTAAATCCTCACCCGAGGATATGCTTATTGACTTTAGAGAGACGGAAGAGAGAGAGAGAGAGAGAGAGAGAGAGAGAGAGAGAGAGAGAGAGAGAGAGAGAGAGAGAGAGAGAGAGAGAGAGAGAGAGAGAGAGAAACATGGATGTGAGAGAGAACATTGATTGGTTGCCTTCTGTATGTGCCCCAACCGGGGATCGAACCCACAACCTAGGAATGTGCCCTTACTGGGAATGAAATCCGCAACCTTTTGATTTATGGGACGATGTTCCAACCAACTGAGCCACACTGTCGAGGGCTGTGCAACCCTTTTTAAATGTTAAAAAGGAAGACGAAGGTGCCAAATCCATCATATCTTGATAATGGGCCCCAGGGAGTCAGGGACCAGCAGGGCAGAACTGCAATCTTTGGCCTAGCTGTCCTCAAGCTGTGCCCAGAGCCACGGCCCTTGTTCCTGCAGGCCTGCTGCTCATTGATGTTTGGGCCTCTCTGACTCCAGTGTGTCTGGGAACAGTGGGCTGAACCTTGCTATCTGTCACCCTGATTCCTCCTGGTAGTTTTGCCAATGACTTTCTGAATTTCCAATTGACCAAACACTAAGGTTTTTTCTATCTTTTTGGAAATATAGCAGTGTGTGTGTGTGTGTGTGTGTCTTTAGCTCCTAGTAGCTATATTTGGAACTCAGTGTTTCTAATAACCATATGCCAATAATCACTCGAACACTCCACTTTTCCCTTGATTACAAAAGCAGGAAATCTGTTATGGTGGTCTGTTTTTCTTCCATACAATAAAACACATTGTCTGCTTACTGTACGAATATTTGGCTAACATTAAACCCTGGGGGAAGCTGAAATTGGAACCGTGAACAGCTAATTTTCAAAACATTTGTTTAATGTAAATTGTGGTGTCAGCTCCCAGAAACAGCAGAGATCCCTGCAACTCCAGGTTTAAGTGGAATGTTCTGAAAATAACCTTTCCAGAGACAGGCAGAGAGAGCCTTAGTAACATGCTAAAGTACTTGCAGTGAAAGGGAGTTGGTATTTTTCAAATGTCAACACTTGAATTCCAAATCATAATTTTCTCCCCAATTCTGTATAATTGGACGTTTTTTAAAGTCTCCAGTTGTGACAGCTGAGTCAGCTATGGTGGAAATAGAGAGTAGAGACGGCAACAGAACACACCAGGGCTAGGAGTCTGGAGCCTTGGAAGTGCCTTAGGGCTTCTCCTTCCTACTTGGGTGGCCTCAGGCAAGTCTGTGACTCAGTTTACACCCCCTCCAATAAAATGATGGGGTCCATCCCAGACTTAGAATTTAGTGACTCAATGAATACTTGCATAATGTATTTTTGACTAGGTAATATGTGTAAGAATTAGGATGTTGCAAAAGTATGCAGTAATAGAATCTCAATCCCACCAGTCCCCCCACATGCCCCCAGATGGGTCTCTGTAATCAGTCTTTATGTATCTTTTCACAAAGTCTATGCACATAAGAGCATATCTATCTATCTACACTAATAAAAGAGAAACATGGTAATTGGCGTACGACCGCTACCCTTCCCATTGGCTAATCAGCATATCCTTATGCAAATTAACTGTCAGCCAAGATGGCGGCCGGCAGCCAGGCAGCTGGAAGCGAGCAGGGAGGCTCGCTTGCTCCAGTGA